TTATAGCTTTTGACTTAAAAGTCACTTATAACAAGCTCATCCAAACGGGCTCCAAGTCAAGAGAAGTAGTTGTGCATTCTCCCTTTGTCTAAGGATTAAAGTACCACTATACTACGTATGGATTGATAAAATAGGCGCAAATGAAATAAGAATTTTATGGGCCGGAACCTTTCAATTTATGAGAATTGCACTCAAATATGGTAGAAATGGCGTGGGTAACCACTTTTTAAAGTGGTATTTACTTTTTATCCAGTATTTTTAATGCTGAGCAAAAATAACCACTACTCTATTAAAAATAATATGAAAAGACGAAGTTACCCTTTCTTCTATCTCTTTTCCATCTCAAACCCTCTATCAAAATTTCAAAACCCTTTCTCCTGATCAAAATTTCCCAAACTCGTTACTTCTCTTCCCCATGCAGTAAGTTCTTCCCCAACTTCACCCCACTTCCTAAACCGAAAGGCAAACCACTTCCTCGTTGCAGACCACTTCTCCAACTTTATTTCTTTTTCTTTTTCTTTTGGTTGGTTTAGGTTCTTGCTGTCTTTTAGGCTTTGGGTTTTAATTAATTTGATAGTTATTATCTGTTATATGTCGTGGTTTTGACTATACTGTTTCCATTTAGTTGATGGGACCCTTTACCATTTCATGGAATTGAATTTTGATAATTGTCTGAAGGACATGTAGTCCTGAAGTCCTAAAGTTAAATTCAAAAATTAAGGACATGGTCCTGAACTTAGAGTTTCAAGTTCAAAAGTTAAGGAAATGTAGTCCTGAAGTCCTAAAGTTAAGTTCAATGGTTAAGGAAACAAGTTCAAAAGTTAAGGACATGCAGTCTTTAACTTACAGTTACAAGTTCTAAAGTTAAGGACAGACAGTCCTTAACTTATAGTTACAAGTTCAAAAGTTAAGGACAGGCAGTCCTTAACTTACAGTTACAAGTTCAAAACTTAAGGACAATAGGTCCTTAATTTTGACTTACAAGTTCAAAAGTTAAGGACGCTTGGTCTTAAAGTTTGAGTTCCAAGTTCAATATTTAAGGACATGTAGCCTTGAAGTCCTGAACTTAGAGTTCCAAGTTCAAAAGTTAAGGACATGTAGTCCTGAAGTCCTCAACTTAGAGTTCCAAGTTCAAAAGTTAAGGACATGTAGTCCTGAAGTCCTAAAGTTAAGGACATGAGTAGAAGGGTATTTTCGTCCGGAAAGTTAAAGTTTATTAAAGCAGTGGATAAAGACTAAAGACATTTTAAACGGTGGCTTAAAAGTAAATACATGTGTTATTAGTGACCAACCGTGTACTTCCCCCCTCAAATATGCTACTCTTGTTAATTAAATAAGGTACAGAGAACAATTTTGAAACCAAAAAAGGCGAAAAAGGAAAAATTATTCGCATGGTTTTAGTGATTTGAATAAGGGAGTGTGACTGTTAGGAGTTAGGCCACAAATACCATGGAAAAGATCACTAAAAACAGTCATTCTAGCATCTATTTTTCTCCGACAAACAAAAGCTGCAAAGACCCAGCAACTCTAATCATGAGTAAAATGGATCGAATTTTTGTAGGTGGTAAGTGAAATTGTTACGGTGGAGTGGCTGTTATTAATTATTACTACATTATTTTCAAAATTAAAGAAGATGAGGTGGATTAATAACGGAAAGTGGAGGAGCTACTGATTTGGCAAGATGAAATATTTTGGGTGGAAAATAAAATTAATGTGTGAAAAATAAAAAACGTAATGGGACCCACATAAAAAATAGGGTGGTCCACATAATAAAGCTGAACTTAAAAAAAATTAAAAAACTTAATTTTGAGAGTTTCACGCGCTTAGTATTAAATATAAAGCACACACTTTGTCATGTCAGCGTGAAGCGTTCACGAGATTGCACTTTAGTCGAGAAGAAGTGTTAAAATGGTAAATGTGTCAGTTAAGGTGTTTGTCTGATCGTTGAGGACAACTTAGAGGGTGTTTGACTAAGCTTATAAGCTGGTCAAACTAGCTTATAAACACTTTTCTGCTTATCTACGCGTTTGGCAAAGTTAAAAGTGCTTATAAGCCAAGTGCTTATAAGTCAAAAATAAGCCAAAAGCCATAAGTTGGTCACCCCTAGCTTATTAATTCTTAGCTAGTAAGCACTTTAAGTTTGACCAAGATTTTCACTATTTTATCCTTAAAATATTCTTTTTTAGAACAAAACTCTTACATCGATACTCACTGCCTCAAGTATTGTTTCAACCTAAACCCCCTCCTCCCCTTCCCCCTCCTCCCCTCGCCTCGCCTCTTCAAGTCTACAATTCTCATTGACTATTTAAGATAAGCAAATTCTCTATTTCTTTGCATATTTGTATCTATGTGATAGTTTATTAATCTATGAATTGTATGTAATGAATGAGGACATATCATCTCTTCAAATATTTTGTCCTATTTAGGTTTTTATTTTTTACTGAGAAACCTTTGTCAATTTATTAATTATTATAACTTATGATTATACGCTTATCATAAAATAAATTATATTTATCATAAAAGTTATCTTATCTAAGCACAATTGTATTTAAAATAAAATGACAAATAGAATATTTTGTATTCGAATCGATTTGGAATCTTAAATTTTGAAAAAATTACGCCCTTATAAGTGTAAACAGTTCTAAGGTTATTTAAGTCATTTTAACAGAAAAAGAGCTTATCAGCACCTTTTTATAAAATATTGCAGCAGCTTATTATCAATTTCAACACTAGTATCCAAGCACGTAATTGCTTATCTATTAAATTAGTTTCAGCATTTAAAAATATTTTTCAGCACCTAATGCCTATCAGTTACTTCAAATCAGCTAATCCAAACGGGATCTTAATGAGATTGTTTGTGTTGCCTAATTAAAATTTCAGCTCTCTTTCTTTAACTATTCGGTATTTTAAATTAACTAGTTCAACTAATTCAGAGTTGGAAGTCGCCTGACTAGGAGGCCCTTTTCCTATTAAGAAATTTTTTAATTCAGAACTTGAATTTGAGATTCTGATTAAAGATACAAGAAATTTCAGTTAGTCCATTAGTTTAGGTGTCGAAATGAAAAAAAATGAACAAGTTTAAGGGGCTACATATGTATTCAGCCTTATTTAAATAAGTACACAGAACACTTTTGAAAACAAAAAAGGCAAAAAAGGAAAAGTTATTCGAATGGTTTTAATGATTTGGATAAGGGAGTGCGACTGTTAGGAGTTAGGCCACAGCTTGTAGAGCACTCATATCACCATCTCTCTCTTTCTCTTTTCTTCAATTTTTAACCAACTGAAATTCCACCTTAATACCATGGAAGAGATCACTAAAAACAGTCATTCTAGCATCTATTTTTCTCCTACGAACAAAAGCTGCGAAGACCCAGCAGCTCTAATCATGAGTAAAATGGGACCGAATTTTTGTGGGCGGTTAGTGAAATTGTTACGGTGGAATGGTTGTTATTAATTATTACATTATTTTCAAGATTGAAGAAGAGGAGGTGGATTAATGGCGGAAAGTGGAGGAGCTACTGATTTGGCAAGATGAAATATTTTTGGGAAGAAAGTAAGATTAATGTATGAAAAAATTAAAAATGTAGTGGGACCCACATAAAAAAAATATGGTGGTCCACATAAAATAAAGCTGAATTTTTTTAAAAAAAGGAAAAAACTTAATTTTGAGAGTTTCACGCGCTTAAAATTAAATATAAAGCACACACTTTGTCATGTCAGCGTGAAGCGTTCACGAGATCACACTTTAGTGGAGAAGAAGTGTTAAAATGGTAAATGCGACCGTTAAGGTGTCTGTCTGATCGTTGAAGACAACTTAATGAGATGGTTTATGTATTTCCTCTAATTAAAATTTCAGCTCTCTTTCTTTAACTATTCGGTATTTTAAATTAACTAGTTCAACTAATTCAGAGTTGGAAGTCGCCTCACTAAGAGGCCCTTTTCCTATTAAGAAATTCTTTAATTCAGAACTTGAATTTGAGATTCTGATTAAAGATACAAACAATTTCAATTAGTCCATTACACTTTTAGGTGTTATTTTTAAACTTCCTTGATAAGTAACAAAAATTCTAAATTTTGAATGTCAGCAAAAGTCAGTCTTCACCAACTATTCTCCAAATATTTAGGACCATATTGGATTATGCACGTTTATATAATCTTAAATCTATCTCTACGCTAAATTTTAGGCATAATCTTGGATTATTCCTCCAAAACTATACTCCCTCTAGTCAACAATAAATGATCAATTTGCTTTGAGCACATCCATTAATGAAATACTAAATTCTAGACAATAATAGTTAGTGTGACTAAACTACCCTTCATTAAATGTTGCACCATAGTTATAGTAGTACTTACTTCTCTTCTCAAATGTGAGGATTAAATGACTTTTTAAGGATACGTACATAAGGGTAATTTTGAAAAAATAAATTAAATTTTTTCTTGATTATATAAATGGACACTTATTTTGGACCAAAATAAAAAAGCAAATTGATCACTTATTGTGGACCGAAGGGAGTAATTGATAAAACTGAGGCAGATGATTTGGCTCTCTTGTTTTTGTTCTCCCAAGTCCTAATTATACTCTTCTGAAACCGAGAAGTTTTATTGTGTGCCTCACACAACTGATATTAGTGGGTGAAGCTCCTTTTTCTCTCACAGATTTGTGGACCCCAATCTTATATTTTTTAATCCACGAAATTTGGATGCACAAAATTATGAGAAAAAAAAGATGCTATAAAATTTTCCTCAAAAACCATGTGTCCTAAGAAAGTGGGACCCAATTAACCAATGGCAGCGGCCTAACCTATAACAAGTGGCAATAACAGCCACCAACTTTAGTGAGATGTGGGTCCCCCCTCTATCTGTTTCAAAACACGGAGTCAGATAAAATATAGTACGACGCTTTGATTGGTCAATTAGTGGGAATGTGAAAGTGGTGGAAACTATTTTCGAAGTCTTGAATTTTCTACAACAAACTCTATAAAGCCAATAGAAAATAGGACCCAAATTTAGTGTAAACTTAAAAAGGGAGAATTCCACGTTTTTCTTCTCCCTTTTCCAAGAATCATCAAAAGGCTTTTAAGAATTGAGGAGACATTTACTAACACTTATATTTGATCAAAAGAGCCTTCTTTGAGAATTTGAACTTGAACTAAATATTACTCCATCTTCTTTTTTTTTTTTATCTCCAAGAAAATGATAGTAGTAAGATGGTGGATGACAACATTCCAATTGACAGAGCTGTTTGTGAGTTCTTTGGTTCATTTGACATATGGGCTTTACATATTCAGCACAGCTGTGGCCGGTGATCTTTCCCAGATTCTGAGCAATTGGCTTTTCAAGCCAAATTTGGAAACTAGCCTTAAAACAGAGGACACAAAAGAGGCTACCAGTGCAAAAGATTTGCCTCCTATCGTGTTGGTTCATGGAATCTTTGGTTTTGGCAAAGGGGTAATGCCCCTTTAACACATTTTCACGTTTGTGCTTTACACTTGTTGGTTCTTGTGGCCTTGAAAATGTAATAGTATTTTCTTAATTTGTAGAGATTGGGAGGACTTTCGTATTTCGCTGGTGCAGAGAAAAAGGATGAAAGGGTTCTAGTACCGGATTTGGGTTCGCTTACTAGCATTTATGACAGGTGGATATTTTTACTGTGATATTGTTGTTTCCTATTCCATCTTTTTTTTATTTTTTGCAACAATTGATGGATTTTAGTTTTCAGGGCACGTGAATTGTTTTATTATTTGAAAGGAGGGCAGGTTGATTATGAGGAGGAGCACAGTAAGGCTTGTGGGCATTCCCAATTTGGACGAATTTATGAACAAGGTAAGAACCTTTTCATTTTTATTTTTATTTTGTATAATGTTGGTGGGTCGGAAACAACCTCCTACCTCTTCACAAGATAGGGGTAAGGTCTCTGTACACATTACCTCCCCAGACCTCATTTGTGGGATTACACCGGATTTTTTTTTTGTTGTTGTTATAATGTTGGTCTAAGGTCAGTGAGGATTCATATAGCAGACCCCAACTTGTTTGGGACTGAAGCGCAATTGTTATTGTTAATTGTTATGTATTAATTAATTGCATTTCAATATTTGTGAACTCAATGTCTAAATTAAACTAGCCATTTTACTTACCTGCCAAAAAATGAAGCAGGGTACTACCCAGAGTGGGATGAAGATCATCCTATTCATTTTGTGGGGCATTCAGCTGGAGCACAGGTTGTTCGAGTCTTGCAACAGATGCTAGCTGACAAGGTAAATTAATGCACAAATTAGTTACAAAATATTGTGACACCTTAAATAATCTGTTCAACGTTAACATTAAGCTTACTATGATAGGCATTCAAGGGTTATGAGAGCACTTCAGAGAACTGGGTGTTAAGCCTAACATCATTATCTGGAGCACTTAATGGGACAACTAGAACATACTTTGATGGAATGCAGTAAGTTTCTCAAAACTTTACTTACTGTAGGTTAACCGTATTTGGTCAATTCTTGCCATATGAACAATTGATGCCTTTAGCTTTGAGATCGGAGTCCTAGATGATTTTCGAGTACATAGTACTTGCGGAGGCACACATTATGTAGTTACTCCATTATATTATGATAATATGCATAAAACTACTGTCAAAGCTATCATCTGTTTGTAGCTTTCTTTACTTTTATGTTTTAACCAGTTTCCTGAGAGTTGTACAACCTCATTTTACTGAATTTGATTGAATTCTCCGACAGACCTGAAGATGGGAAGTCCTTAACGCCCGTATGTTTGCTCCAACTTTGCCGCATTGGGGTAATAATTTATGAGTGGCTTGACATTCCATGGCTGAAGGACTATTACAACTTTGGCTTTGACCACTTCAGTATGTCCTGGAGGAGAAGTGGTATCCGGGGTCTTGTTGATTGCCTTTTAGGGAATGCCGGTCCATTTGCTTCAGGAGACTGGATACTTCCAGATCTTACCATCCAGGGGTCAATTAAGTTGAATAGCCACTTACGTACATTTCCGCAGACATACTACTTCAGCTATGCTACCAAGCGTACCACGAAAGTAATGGGTCTTACAGTTCCTTCTGGCGTTCTAGGGATACATCCTCTTCTACTCATCAGAGTCTTGCAAATGAGCCAATGGCGGCATCCACAAGATGTTTCTCCTCCGTACAAGGGCTATAGGTTCGTGTGTATTACCCCTGCGTTCCAATCTACTTAGATAGATGACGATTCTTTATACTACATGTGCTGTTCACCTGAGTCTAAATTTCTCAATATTGACCATTTTAATTGAGTGGCTATGTGTTTTGAGCCTCATTGATTTGTATGAGATCCCGCATCCAACCTGATTATATTTTTTGGGTTTATTGTTGTTCATGACAAGTTATTGCTGATTGTTACACTACTTCGTGGATTTACATGCATGGCTGATATGCACTGCGCTAAATTAGGGATTTTGTAACACCACTTTTGATTGATTTCCAGTTCTCCTAATTTTAGTGTCACCTAAAAAATCTGTTTAATCTCCTTTGTAAGATGTGGATTTCCGTTTGTGATCAGTTCAGAGTCTTAAATTTTAACGCGTCGCAAAATCTTTAAAATCAGTAATCCAAATGCACCATTAAGTTTTATCATTCAAGATTGTATCTTCTTAAAGTAATCATTGTATATGAAAGCAGTACGGATTCAATGCAAACAATAACTAGTTTCATCATCTCATTGCTGTTATTTCATGCAGGGATGAAGATTGGTGGGACAATGACGGTGCTCTGAACACCATATCTATGACGCACCCACGCTTGCCGGTTGAACACCCGAGTCACCTTGTCGTTAAAGATTCTGATTGCCAGCCCTTGCAACCTGGCATCTGGTAGAGGGACCAGTTAGATATGGGAACTTATCTCATGGAAGAATATTGTGTTCTATTCCAAGAATTAAGTATTAATTTTCCTCTTCTGTGCAGGTACTATAAAATTGTGGAAGGTGACCACATTCTTATTGTTGTGAACCGGGAAAGAGCTGGAGTTCAATTTGATTTGATGTACGACAGCATATTTGAGCGCTGCAGGAAGCATGTCTTAAGAAAGACTCCAACACTCCCAAACCATAGTTAGGAAGATATTCTCTCAAGGGACGGTATACTACTGCAGTATCACATTCTTCTAATCTTTTACACACTGACCAAATATCTATTTCGCCTTTGAAATGGATTTTAAAGTCAATGTCTCTCATTGTTCTTTTGTATGTAATTATTATTACCTCGTAGGCTTTCCGTGGGAAATGTAAGTAGAGATTTGGTCCGTTGCACTGTCAAAAAAGATGAATATAGAATTCCAAAAGAATACACAACTCAATGAAGAAATTTTCTGATGATTGTATTCACAGTAGCTTGTTTCTCTTTATACAAATAATTCTAGCTAAAGAAAATGTAAAATGAAAATCATCCTGTACACTTGTCTAATTCCTATTGTGTAAACCTATAACAGAAAAACTAATTTTATTCTCTAACATGTGCTCCTATACCCTTATCTGTACAACTAGATTTGCCATATCAATGGCTCTTATTAAAAAGCTTCAAGGGTTGAGATCTGTACACGTGTAAACTCAAAGGATCAAATTAAAAATGAATAAAGGACATATTAAAATAAAAGGATAGAGAGACAGCTTGTCTAGAAAACTCCGAAGTTCTTTGCTATGTCTGAACCCCGTCTTTCTTCCTCATTTCTATACAGGATGCAATTGCTTTCATCTTCTTCGTTCCTGTTTCTTCTTCTTTCAAATTGTTATGGGGCTTCATCGTAACACCCCCCCTCAAGTTGGAGGGTGAAGAGAAAACCCCCCAACTTGGGCAAAATCTGATGGTGAGAAACCCCAGTGAGGGGCTTGGTGAAGAGATCCGCTAGCTGAAGCTTTGAGGGAAGAAAAGAAAGAGTGATTAAACCTGAGAGGTATTGTTGCCGAACGAAGTGGCAATCCAGCTCCACATGCTTCGTCCTTTCGTGGAAAACTGGGTTTCGAGCAATGTAAATGGCCGCTTGACTATCTGAGTGAACAGTGACCGGCCAAGTAGGAGGAGCAGACAGATCTGCGAGGAGACGAACGAGCCAAGTAATCTTTGCAGTGACGCGCCTCATAGATCTATACTCTGCCTCGGCGGAAGAGAGTGAAATCGATACTTGTTTTTTCGATTTCCATGAGATAGGAGCTCCCCCTAGGGTGATGAAGAAACCACTGACAGAGCGGCGAGAAGTCTTGCAAGCAGCCCAGTCAGCATCGCAAAAAGCAAGCAGATCAAGAGAAGGATTTGCAGATAGGAGGATGCCCTGTGCTGGATCGGTGTTCAAGTACTTCAAAACACGCAGCCCAGTAGAAAAATGCAACATTTGGGGCTTTTGCATGTATTGGCTTAGAGTGAGTACAGCAAAACAGATGTCCGGGCGGGTGTTGGTGAGGTAATTAAGCTTACCAACAAGACGGCGATAGATAGCAGGGTCAGCTAAGGGAGGTGATAATTCGAGATGCAGTTTGGAAGAGGATCCAAAGGTGATGATACAGCAGATCCTGTACAACCAAATTCCTCTTACAATTCTAAGGTAAACTTTCTCTGATTGATGATTAAACCTTGTGGTTCTCTAATGATTTTCATCCGCAAAAAATAATAAATATCCCCCAAATTTTTGACTTTGAATTCTGAATCAAGGAAATGGGTAATATGACTGATTTCTGCATAATCATTTCCTGTAAGTAGGATATCATCCACATAAACTAATAAAATAGAGATCCGATCTTTATTCTGTTTAAAGAACAAAGAATAGTCATTTAGGGAGGCTGAATATCCTTTGAAACTAAGAGCACCTGCCAATCTAGCATACCACTGTCTAGAGGCCTGTTTCAAACCATATAGGGACTTCTTCAAAAAACAAACTTGATTAGGAGTAGGTGGAGATACCCCAGGAGGAAATCTCATGTAGACTTCCTCTTGTAAATCCCCATGTAAAAACGCATTATTAACATCAAGTTGTGACACCTTCCATCCTTTCTTTACTACCACAGTTAAGAGACATCTGATTGTGGTCATCTTGACCACAGGTGAAAATGTATCAGAATAATCGATACCTTCTCTTTGGATATCCCCCCTCACCACCAATCGTGCCTTTAATCTTTCAATGGAACCATCTGATTTGTGTTTGACCTTGTAGACCCACTTACAAGGTAAGGCTTTCTTGCCTTGTGGCAAATCCACAATCTCCCAGGTTTTGTTGAGATTAAGTGCTATTAACTCTTCTTCCATAGCCTTTCTCCAACCTGCATCATGAGAAGCTTGAAAATAATTCTGAGGTTCTAAAATAGAACATACTGAATTATGACATTCTGATTATGGATTGACAAAGCTGCAAAGGGTAGAGTAGGGGGACAAGGTGCATGGTTGAAACAAGAGGAAGTGATGTCAAACAAGAAAATCCCATTGCATACATAGTCTTTCAGATAGCTAGGTTGCTGAGAGATCCTTTCAGATTTTCTGATAGGAGGAGGAGGTATGGGAATAGTAAGGCTATCAATAGGATCAGGTGTGGGAGAATAATGATTAGGAGACATAGGTGAGGCTTGTCTAGAACTGAGTTCATCAGGTGCAGGGGAACCAGGAAGGTTATGAGTGAGAGAAGGGAAAGAAACATCAAAAGAGCTGGAAGGAAGAGGTGTTATATGGCTGGGGCTAGGAGAACCACTGTTCCTAGGACTAGAGGAGGATAAAGGAAATGGGAAGGTAGATGAAGGGGATAAGGGCATGGAAACAGAGGAGGAGTTGTCTGAGACAGGTGAAGTTTGAGGGAAGACCTGATGGGGTTGTGTTGTAGGTGTGGTAGCAAAAGGGAAATGATTTTCATAGAACTTCACATCTCTAGATACAAAAACAGTTTTTGTTTGTAGTCCTAGAAGTTTGTAACCTTTTTGATGTGATGAATATCCCAGGAAAACACATGCCTGTGCTCTAGGATCAATTTTGCTTCTGTTGTGAACTAGAGTAGAAGCATAGCACAAGCATCCAAAGACCTTTAGATTGTCATACACTGGTGGTCTACCAAACAAAATGTGATAGGGAGTCTTTCCCTTAAGAACTTTGGAAGGGAACCTGTTAATTAGGTAGGTTGCAGTTAGGATGCACTCTCCCTAGTATTGTATGGGAACTCTAGATTGAAAGAACAAGCCCCTTGCCACCTCTAGTAAATGCCTATGCTTCCTCTCAACTATTCCATTCTGTAGGGGTGTCCCCACACAAGAAGTCTCATGAATGATCCCTTGTGAAAGCAGAAAATCAGATTGTTGTGTTCCTCTTCCCATTCTAAGGCATTATCTGATCTCACCTTCTTCACTTTCACATTGAACTGTCTTTCTGTCATGGCAAAGAATGATTTTAGGACTGTGAATGCATTTGCTTTTGAACTTAGCAGAAAATTCCATGTCCCCCTACTAAAATCATCTACAATAGTTAGAAAATATTTATAGCCATTATAAGTGTTAGACTTGAAAGGACCCCATGTATCAATGTGTATAAGATCAAATATCCCATTTGTCTTGATTTGGCTTATGGGAAAAGGCAGTCTAGTCTGTTTAGCTTGATGACAAACATCACACACATGATAAAAATATGTAGGAAGGAAATGAACTTGAAAGATTTCATTACTTCAAAAGGTAAATGGCCCAACCTAGCATGCCATTGGATTACATCAGAAGTTACATTCATAGACACAGGCCTTAGACTAGAAACATCACTAGAAATAGAACTGGAATGACTTCCTTTTGGAATTGAAAATGGATTTTGACTAGAAACACTATGTTCTGCACTAAAAGAAATGGGATTCAGCAGGTACAATCCTCCTCTTATTTCACCAAAAGCTTGCCCCCTCCTCACTAAAGGGACCTGTAATATACACCCACTAGATGTCAAATTAAGGGAACATTTGAACTGGATGCAGAGCTTATGAACAGAAAGTAAGTTATATTTAAAAGATGGAACATAAAGAACCCTCTCAAGAATCATGTCATTCTGAATGGAAACTCTTCCTATGTGTGTGACATATAACTGGAAAGAGTTAGGCAAGCTAATATGAACAGGTATAGGAAGGGGAGACAACTCTAAAAAAGAGCTTGAATCAAAACACATATGTTCAGAAGCCCCTGAATCAATGATCCAAGTTTTAGTGTTAAACACTGCCAAACATGTTCCTAAATACTTAAGAATAGTACCAGCAACTGCATTTGCATTGATTTCAGATCCTGTGTTTCCTGTATTACCAACTTGAACCTGTCTGATTATATTAACTAGTTCTGAAATCTGTTCTTTGCTAAATGATTGATTCTGCCCTGCTACTAGTCCTTCATTGTTAGGACTTGAGTTGATTTCATTCTCCTGTGCTCTTATTGCTGCATTCCCTTTTGCTGTGGGTTGGTAATTGTTGTTTCTGGTAAACTGAAAATCATCAGGGAATCCAATTAGCCTGTAGCAATCTGCCCTAACATGTCCCGTTCTCATGCAGTGAGTGCAACTGACATTTGGTTTATATTTTGCCTTCTTAGCTTTGCTCTTTTGCTGCTGATTATTTCCAGATCTTGAAGAAGGATTCCATCCTTTTTGCACCTGATTGTTGTACCTTAGCCCTCCCTTCCCTTGACCTGTAACCAAAAAGGAAGATGCATCTGAGTTGAGTTGAGGGCTAACCATATTCACAAAAGCCTCCCTCTGGTTTTCATCTTGTAAGAGTAATGAATAGGCAAAGTCTATGCTAGGGAGAGGACTCATCATTAAGATGTTTCCTCTAGCCTGAGCATATGCATCATTGAGTCCCATGAGAAATTGCAGGATCCTTTGATCCTCTAGAAACTTATCCAGCTTAGCCTTTCCACCACATGTACAATCACATGAGCAATTTAGATGAGAGCTTAGAGAGTCCATTTCATCCCATAGTTTTTTGAGTGTAGTGAAATAGCTTGAGATGCTGTTATTTCCTTGGACTGATGTTGAAATTTCCTTCAGTAATTGATATAGTTTGACCCCATTTGATTGGCCAAATCTATGTTCTAGACTGTTCCATAAATTTCTTGCTGTTTTGGAGTAAATGACACTATCTCCTATATCTTTTGACAGTGAATTGAGCAGCGATGAAGTCACCATATTCATTAGCTCTGCTCCACAGAGGATAGTCAGCTGAATCAGGCTTAGGTTCTTCACAAACCCCATCGATAAAACCAAGTTTGTTCTTGGCTGAAAGAGCAATGAGAATGGATCTCCTCCAACCTGGGAAACCTCTCCCATCAAAAGGCACATTGACAAGACACATCCCAGGTGAATCTGAAGAGTGAAGGAAATATGGATGATTGGAATCAAGGTTTTTCATTTGACTGGTTGAACTGACAACAGTGATGGTTGGGGTAGCTTCTCCTCCAGTCATGGGTGAAGATTAGAAGAAGAAGAAGATGATTAAATTTGGAGAGTTGAAGGATCGAGCTAGTATAAGCTCTGATACCATGTAAACCTGAAGGATGATATTGTAGAAATTTTCTGATGATTGTAACCACAGTAGCTTGTTTCTCTTTATACAAGTAATTCTAGCTAAAGAAAATGTAAAATGAAAATCACCCTGTACACTTGTCTAATTCCTATTGTGTAAACCTATAACAGAAAAACTAATTTTATTCTCTAACATGTGCTCCTATACCCTTATCTGTACAGCTAGATTTGCCATATCAATGGCTCTTATTAAAAAGCTTCAAGGGTTGAGATCTGTACACGTGTAAACTCAAAGGATCAAAATAAAAATGAATAAAGGACATATTAAAATAAAAGAATAGAGAGACAGCTTGTCTAGAAAACTCCGAAGTTCTTTGCTATGTCTGAACCCCGTCTTTCTTCCTCATTTCTGTACAGGATGCAATTGCTTTCATCTTCTTCGTTCCTGTTTCTTCTTCTTTCAAATTGTTATGGGGCTTCATCTTAACAGATTTTTTATGGTGTTGACTGATTTTTCATCTAAATATAGTACTTAATAGTTAGGAAAGTTACTCCCTAAACTTGTCTCGAAAACTCATTTACATATTCTAACTTTACGAGTGTCTTTTTACCCCCCAAAGTAGAATTAATACCACCTTGAGAGATGATGGCAGAGAAAGTGTTTTCACTCCTTAAAATGTGTAATAGGGAAAACAAGTGAAAAATGAATTAATTTAAGGTACGTGTTATTCTTTCTTTAATCGGATGGTACTCAGTTGACAAGACTATTTTGGCGGGCCTCTTTTCTTTTTCTCTTCCTTCCCCTCAATCTTGTATCCTCACCTGCAAAACCACCGTGGTGCCTCCAAAGACTCCACCATTGCAGGTTCTCCAACACCAAGACTAACCTTATTGGTTGTAATCACCGGTAATAATACTTTTGTGTCTCTCTTTCAATTCATTGAATAAAATCACATATTGGGTTTGCTGTCTCTATATAAAGAGGTCCACAAAATTAAATTTGCGAGGTATAAATTTGTTTTTATGGATATATCTTTTGACACAGCTTAAGCACGTATTTTCCACATTACTAGGTTCCTCTTGATTCAACTCTTGTCAAGAAATAGGAAGGCTGCCATAGCAGTCGATCTGGCTATGTTTGAAAAATATTATTTTGGTTATATTATTCTCTTTATGTTACTAAACAAAATCTACTCTAGTGCATTTGGAAAAGAAATAAAGCTTCAGTGATTGATCATGGCAAATCTATCATTCTCAGTTATGTTACTTTATTTGCACGGAAAGATCAGCTCTTACCACTAGAAACCCGATGGAAGCCATCTCCCTGATACGCAGGGTAATGGAACAGTGAAGAAGATCGGCAAAGAAGAGAAAGAAAAGGAAAAGAAAGAGAAAGTGCAAAACTAAATTAGGATAAAATAAAATAGGGTTTTATTCATATGCCAAAAAGAAGATAATTACAACCTATATAAGAAATAAACCTCTAAAAATGACCTAAGGATTCCAGCTAGGTACTCCCTCACTCTGCCATTCCAGTACATATCTGGACAGGACTTAATTGGTATAAGACAAAAGAAATTAAGGGGTCAATGTGTAATATAAGGAACTTTTAATTTAAAATCTAAGGGACTTAACTAAACATTTCCAGAACTCGATAATCCTAACTAACTGGTCGTTATGTCTCAGTTGTGCAGCACAATGTACAACTTCCGCAAGCTGCTCTGCTTTTCTCCGTATCAGATCCCATGTTAAAAATTTCCTTGTCCTCAAGGAATGAAGGAAGGAAATCGAACCATGAGAGAGTGATAGTCTTCCCAAGTAGCCTGCTCTGGAGATAGCTGATCACATTGTATTAGGACTTGGGTAACGGCCTTATTCCCTTTTTGAAACAAGCGTCGATCAAGGATTTTTTGCGGACTTGGACAGTAAGGGCCAGAAATGCCAAGGACAGGAGGGTGAGAGATATTGGAGGGTAGGTTATGGCATAATTTGAGTTGGGAAACATGGAAGGTGGGGTGGAGGAGTAGCTGGGTGGGAGAGATAGCTTGTAAGCTACAGGGCCAACTTTTTGTAAGACTTGGTACGAGCCATAATATTTAGCTGAAAGCTTGGAGAAATGGGAACCTGACAGTGTCACTTGTCTATAGGGCTGGATTTTGAGGTAAACCCAGTCTCCCACTTTGAACTGCCTATCTGAGCGATGCTTGTTAGCCTGAACAGTCATTCTTTGTTGTGCCCTATGGAGATGGTATTTGAGGAGTTGTAGTTTGAATTCTCTGGTCAAGAGGCTTCTGTCTACTTCTTCCACAGCTGAGTCACCTGCTACATAGGGTAAATGAAGTGGGGGAGGTTGGCCATATAAAGCTTCATATGGTATTGTTTGTATAGAAGAGTAAAAGGTGGTGTTATACCACCATTCAGCAGAAGAGAGGTATGAACACCAATCAGATTAGGAGTCAGAACAAAAGCATCTAAGGTAAGTCTCTAGGCATCTATTGATGACCTTTGTTTGGCCATCAGTTTGAGGGTGGTGTGTTGTGGATGTGTTGAGTGTTACCCCATGCATAGAGAACAATTCCTGCCAAACCTTACTGGTGAAGATGGGGTCCCTGTCACTCACTATGTCCTCAGGCATGCCATGAAGTCTATGAATCTGTTCCATGAAGAGTTTTGCCACCTCTGAAGCTGAATAAGGATGAGAGAGACTCAGGAAGTGAGCATACTTAGTAAGTCTATCGACTACCACCAGAATCACAGTCTTTCCCTTTGATTTTGGTAGTCCCTCTATGAAGTCCATGCTAATGCCGCTCCAAGCTGTGACTGGCAACTTTAAGGGTTGTAGAAGTCCTGGGTAGGGAGACTTATCATACTTATGCCTTTGGCAAATGTCACAGCCATTGACATAAGTATGAACATCTTCTCTCAATCCTTTCCAATAAAACAGTGAAGCTATTCTCCTGTATGTTTGTTCAATCCCTGAGTGTCCTCCCATAGGGGAATCATGCCACAATTGCATAATATTCTTCTTAAAACTAGGGTCTGGGCTAATTACCAACTTGCCATGTCTTCGAAGTTGATAATGAATGAAGGTGTAACCTTGCACCTCTGTACCTCCCTTTAAAGTATGGATCAAGGCAGTCAAATCTGTGTTTATGTACCAACTTTGAGTGATCATGTGAAGCAAGTCAGGCTGGACAGAGGACAAGGTAAGGGCAGCTAGTTCTACTGCAGGCAGTCTAGATAAGGCATCAGCCACTTTGTTTTCCTTACCTTTCTTGTACTCAATTATGAAATCATATTGCATCAACTTTGCTATCCATTTCAACGGTGACCCTGTATGCAACTTCTGCTCAAGAAGGAATTTTAAGGCCTTCTAATCGGTCTTTACTGTAAAGGGCCTGCCAGTTAAATATTGAGCCCACTTGTTAACAGCCATAACCAATGCCAACAATTCCTTATCATATACTGATAGTGTCTGGTGCTGAGGTGAGAGACCCTTACTCAGGTAAGCTATGGGTTGGCCCCTTTGCATTAGGACTGCACCAATGCCATTGCTGCAAGCATCAATTTCCACTACAAAAGGTGTGGAAAAATCAGGTAGTACTAGTAGTGGTGTAGAAGTGAGGGCTTCTTTAAGCTTATTGAAGGCTGAAGTAGCCTGAGGGGACCATTTGAAACCGTCTTTCTTAAGCAGATCAGTAAGTGGCTTGCTGATAACCCCATAACCTCTGATGAACCTTCTGTAGTATCCAGCTAGTCCAAAGAAACCTCTTAACTGTTTAAGGTTAGCAGGTTCAGGCCACCCTTGGATTAACTCAATTTTCTTGGGGTCAGTTGTCACTCCTTCAGCAGAGATATAATGGCCTAAGTACTCAATTCTAGTGGCTGCAAACACACACTTACTCTCTTTGGCAAAAAGCTGATGTTGCACTAACAAGTCAAATGTGAGTCTGAGATGTTGCACATGCTCAACTAATGTCTTACTAAAAACTAGAATATCATCAAAGAATACTAGGATAAACTTCCTTAGATGTGCCTGAAAGATATGGTTCATAAGCCCTTGGAAACTAGAGGGAGCATTGGTCAATCCAAAGGGCATGACCAGGTATTCATAGTGTCCTGAGTGTGTCTTGAAAGCTGTCTTGTGTACATCAGAGGGAGCCATCCTAATCTGATGATAACCTGCCCTTAGGTCTATTTTTGAATAAATCTCTGACCCTCCAAGTTCATCCAATAATTCTTCAATGATGGGTATGGGAAACTTATCCTTAATAGTGACCTTGTTCAGAGCCCTATAATCAACACACAACCTCCAAGAGCCATCTTTCTTTCCAACCAAAACTACAGGAGAGACATAGGAACTGGAGCTATATTGGATGATCCCTTAAGCTATCATTTCCTTCACCATGTCTTCTATCACATTCTTTTGTATGGGGGAATATCTA